GTCGAATAAGCGAGCAATGTTCGAGAGGATGGTTCTCTTGGTCGAAGCAGACGAAAACTCAGCAAGATCGATGACATTAAACCGAAACTGGTCCTGCACCGGACTCCACTGAACACCAAGAGTTTTAACTGCCCTGTCTACCTCGATATTTTTAATCACACTCTGCTCAGCCTTCGGAGGAAGCAGCTCGACATAATTGGCGGCCCATTTGTCAAGAGAAATGCCTGCAGAACTTAGAATCTTCACCAATTCATCCCTTTTCTGTATAGCCGTGATTAGATCATCCGCACCGGCGAACGTGTCATCCACGTATGTCTCAGAATTCAGACACTGAGCGCCTAGGGGAAAGGTCGTCCCTTCGTCCTCAGCTAACTGCAGAAGCGTACGAATGGCCAAAAACGGAGCGCACGCTGTCCCGTATGTGACCGTGGACAGTCGGTACTCTACCGGGGAAGAATCTGCATCCGGGGCCCATACTATCCGCTGGTAGTCCTGATCATCCCGGTGGACTCGAATCTGGCGGAACATTTTCACGATATCTGCTGTGAATGCAAACAAATATCTACGCCAATTTAATAACACCAACGAAAGATCCCTTTGCAAAGGGGGGCCTGTCAACAGGAAATTATTGAGGAAGTGGCCCTCACGAGTTCGCCTTGATGCATCAAACACTACCCTTAGCTTCCACGTGTCTGGGGTCCCTTGAATAACCGAATGATGCGGCACATACCAAACCTTGGACTGTGGTATCTCCGAAGATGGAATCGGAGTCATATGTCCTAGCTCCTCGTAGGTTCGCATGAACTCACGATAACCCTGAGCTAACTTCGGGTCACGAGCAAAGCGGCGATGCATATGCCTGAGAGACCCAAGAGCCATTCTACGAGTCTCGTCTCCAACAAGCGGCAGATTCGGTTTTAACGGCAAACGGACCTCATAACGACCCTGCAAATCACGGCGATGAGTCTCCCTAAAAATCCTCTCGCACTCCTCGTCCTCGGGCTTCATTTTAGAAGAAGTTGCAGGCAGCTCTTCTAGTTCCCAGAACCGCTGCAAAGTTCGATCTAGATCGTGCACTGAAGCGCAATGCAAAACCTGCAAAGGGGTAGACGATTCGGACTGCTCCGCCCGCCGTGAAACCTCCGATTGTACTACACCTGAAACGACCCAGCCGAAAGCCGTATTTTGAGCGACGAGTTGAGAGCCGGAAAAACGTCTTAAACCCGGTCGTAGCAACTGCCCGTATACGTCAGCGCCTAGAAATCAAAAACTGTGGCTCTGCCAAAGTAATCCCTGATAATTGTTCAAAATCGAAATC